AGAGGCATCGAAGTCTGTTCGCAGCAAATGCAAGATTATGCATGCATGGTTAGGGGCGGTAGGGACACCAGAAATCACCACAAGTTTGTCCATCACAGGCCTGCTCCCCCTGGATGCCTGGCAGCGGGGGCACCTTGGCGTGGACATGAGCATGGTGCTAAGATTGTGACATAATATCATATAATATAATATAATATAATATAGTATAGTATAATATAATATAGTATAATATAATATAATATAGTATAATATAATATAATATAATATAGATTGTAGCCATCCACCAGCACTGCCAGGGGTTGTCCAAGTGCCCGCACCCTCGAGGACAGCTTGAAGCCCGAGATCAGCTCCCGAAGCCAGCCCTACGCAAGATAGGGCCCATAGTAGTTCCCTTTTGGGGGGGTTACCTTATAGGGTTCTATGTATGAACCCCAAAAAGGAACTGCTTTAGGGCTTCAGCACATCAGCCCAGGCCCTATCCTGAGCCTTCCAAAGACTCGGCCTCGAGCTGTTGATATCGGGGTTTCCAAAAATAGGGGACCCAAATATAGTACCCTAGATAATAGGATCCCTATTATAAGGACCCCAAAACAAGGTACCCCTTATTTTCGGAAATCCCCATATACAGTTTTGTCACAGCATGCCGACCCGGGGGAGTGGAAGAAACGATACCGCCGGATGCTGGCGCCATCGGGGCCTCACCCGTCTTGGACTTCTTCTCGAGGACATGGGCGAAGACCCGCTGACCTCAACTCCCAAGAGTAAGTAAAACTCCCTAAGCCGAAGTCCAACTCCGCAGATGAGAGACGCATCCAGGTCTCCGTCTTCAGAAGGTCCTGGCGGCCAGACAAAGGCACGCACTACAGTAGAAAGGGTCTCCCAAAGGCTTGGGGTCCTCTCCGGCCAGGTATCCCTCCGACACCAGGTACTCCTTGTTGCTGCGGTGCTCTTGCCACAGGGCCTTGGCCTGGAGCAATGAAAGAGAAGATCTTGGCCCAGCAAGTCGGGAAGTGCATACTTAGTCATGCTTGTGCACTACCACCAATGGCGGAGACTTGCATTCAGGAACACTGCAACTTCTTGATGCTTCCGCCCTTTTTCCCGACGCTGAGGTTTGCAGATGCATTGCCCTGAAGTGCCCGCACTTGGTCCGCATCCAGGTGCAGATGTGTGTGTGTGTGTATGTGTTTCTTGATACATGCGCGCGCCTCCATGACCGTGCGCTCTTCGAGCTCTTTGAGGGCCTCGACCTCCTCGCACGGGGAAGCCCGGGAGCAAGCTCTATAACTGTCATGCAACTAACTGCACCAAGACTTGCACCGGATTTCTGAAACGCCTTGACTCAAAACTCCTACATATGGCCCGTCAAGCGTGAACTCGAACTCCAAACCCTGATGCCCAGTCGGCCTTGCCGCTCAGACCCATAGAACGTCCAGTTCCAGGCCGCCTCAAGACATGAGTATCGCGTATCCACAATCCAAGAACCAATGCTGACACCTTTTCGCTTGCAGTTCATCTTGTCTGATCTTGTCGCTGTACCGTGACCGTCATGATGACGGTGGGTAGCAGACAGTAGCAGCAGTGGTAGTGGTACTGCAGCGGTGGTGGCGGTAGTGAGAACATGCAGCTTCTATTGCTGCACTCCCACCCCTCCTGCTACTCCCACTGCTCCTATCCCTGCTCCTCCTCCTCCCTACGACGACGTCGACGACCACCACTACTACCAGAGCTTCCAGTGCTACTGCTACTGCTCGTGCTACGACTACGTCTAAGATCACGACGACGACTACCGAATGCTGCCGGAATTGTTGTGCACCGGACCTGATCCGGGCTAAGGTTGAAGGCGCTACCATGATCAATAGGCCCTTAGGCCAGCACGCTCTTGCAGCAGCCCAGGCATCACACATGGCCCACAAGTCAACGTCCTGCCAGCGGTGAGACGTTGCAGCGGTCTGCTCCGAAGCGCTGGCTCGCCTTTCATGGTCATGCTGATCTAAGCCCTGGCTGGACTTTCGGATTCACCGTCATCTTAAGTGGCCTAAGCCCCAAAAGCATACCTACGGCCTTTCGGGCTAAAACTTGCAGCGGCCATTGGCAATGTGAGGAGAGCAGGTCGGTCGTTCATGCGTCGCCGGCGCCGAAGCAGCTCGCCCCAGTCCTGGGCTTTGGCTCAGCTGGGCGCACGAGCATACCTGTACCCACATGTCTAAAGCATTCGTTGCCTAAAACCTCAAATGGTACCCTATGGCCTATGGGTGGGTCTACGATTACTTGTATTGTGAGATTGCAAATCGACTAACACCAACATCTTCCTGCCGCTAAGGCTGTCCCTGACTGCAGTATTCCCCTACAAAGCCCGAAAATCTGCTGCGCTTCATACACCCCCAAGGCTTCATCAAGCAAATAGCAGATAGGATAGCGGTCTCTAGTCGGACATTCTTTGGCGCATATCTTGCACCACCATCTGCAAGCTCCGCTCAGCTTCGAGCCGAGTCGTTGGCTAGGACCCATCCTTCTGGCTTGCCCGAGAGCTTCAGCCAGCCTCGGAAACGAAGGGCCCCCGCCGAGCTGAGGAGCAATAGATACGATCCTTGGGGCCGAGCCGTCAAAGTTCTGAGTGTGCGCGAAGACATATTCTCCACCTTGGAGCTGCATCCGACTTCTTTTAGAGAGACTCGCGGAGAAGTCGAAAGTCCACGAGCCGGCCAAGCCACACTTGAGCGTTGCCACCGTCTTCGCCTTTCGGCTCGGCGTCTCCCTGGCCGGATGGGAATGGAACTGTGCTCAGAGTCAGCGACAAGATCGACAAGGGCACCTTACGGGAACACCGGTCTTGAAGACGACTTCGAGGCAAACCATGCCTCGGAGGCTCAGTTGATTGTCGAACTCTAGATGAAAGAACACTCAAGTGGGGAGGGATGTCCCTTTTCCGTGCTCCTACTACTAACTGCTACCACCACGAGAACCACTACTCAACTCACCACCACCGCCACTGGTGAATCAGTGAATGCCGCTGCTGGTGCTGCCTCTCCTCCTCCTGCTGCGGCAAGTGCAACTACTACTCCTCCTACTCCTGCTGAAGCTGCTGCTGCTGCTACTACTACTGCTGCCACTGCTAGAACTGCGGCTGCTGCTATCACTACTGCTACTACTGCTGCCACTGTTACTCGTTGCAACTTGTAAATTATACTTGTGCCAATACTTCTACTTCCACTGTTTTGCCCCTTTTGCGACGACTCGACAACTGCCAATCTGACGCTGGTGTGTAGTAACCGGAACCGTCGGAGCGTGAACCTGGAAAAACAGAAGGATCACCGGCCATCAGCACCAGAAACGGTCATCGTTTCACAACCAGACAGCACATATCAGCACATGCCTCGCTTGAAGGCCGGGCAGCAAAGATGGTTGCACTGAAGCTACAAGTAGTGATGCTGGCTCTTTCGCCAGGATCTATAGAGGCTTCGGCTTTTGCTTGCACCCAGTGCCGCAATACAGGATGAACTCATCATACAGAGAGAGAGAGAGAGAGAGAATGCAGAAGGAGAGCAGAGAACTTGAAGGTCTCTCCTCGAGTCTGGGATCCGAACCCTGCGGCTGGTAGACGGGTACTGCCAGCCTCTGCTTCTTTCGGCGCTGGACTCGTTTTGTCATTTCCAGCTCCAGCGTACAGCTTTGTGGAAGCCTCTCTCTCGCTCTCTCTTTTTTGCATCGGGTGTTACAACAGCCTGTGTTCAGAAAAGGAAGTAAGTTGGGCGCTTAGGCCAAGGGCTCCATTCATGGAAGGCTGGTTGTGCGAAGAGACAAGTGGCTCCAGCATGGGGTCGGTCTCGAGCGGTGCTGCAACCTGCGAGGACCATGTGGATGCCCTTGTGGCCAAAGCACTGTTTGAAGGACTACATGCTTCCACAGATGCTGTACCAAGACCGGCGAAGTCTGTCGCATGATCTCATCATCAGCAAGGTTCACTTGCCGGCGCCTCTCCAATGTCCTGAATGCAGACAGAAGTTGCAGCACGCGAATCAAGCAACGAGATGTCAGCTTTGAGAGCCTCCCCGGCTGCGAAACCCGTACATGTGCGACACGGGACACACAAGAAATCACGCACAGACACATAGAGAGATCAGAGTAACGCCGTCCTGTACACCACGGAGGTGAGCTGCCTTAGGGTCTCTGACACTGCAGCCAGTTTGGTAATCACACATGTATGCCAGAGAGGACGAGCCTTGCGCTGGCATCCCAAACTGAGGCTTGGGCCAACCAGCCCGGCTCGTTCTCAAGCTTCAACCTACCGAGGCGAGTCTTGCCAGGAGCGGCGATCAACTACATTCAACTACTCTGACGTAGATTCGCCGTGGGGCTTTCAGCGAATAGGCTTCTGAGGTACGGGCCAGCCATTCATCGTCATTTCGGAGACGATGAACCTACTTCCTTTGGACCTTGCTTTGAGCTCGTGGAAAGCTCTCACTCGAAACCCCCTCGCTTGGCCCAGCACTTCTTGGTCTTCAGCTTAGCATCCATGTGCGGCTCTGCCTTTACTGTGCCCGTCTTCGCGATGACCTGGCTTGGCGGTTCGGGAATACACATCGTAGAGAGGCCACTTCTCTTCTTCTTCCTGTTCCAGCCATCACCAGTGCTGACACGAGTACAAGTTTGTGCAGCTAGCTTGCCATTGCTGCTGCTTGCTGCGGCTGCTACTGCTGCTGCTGACGACACCAACCGCCACCGCACCGCCACCGCGACCACCCGGCCTGCCTGACTACCTATCTATTGCCGACGACCGCAGGCTTCAGTTGCAACTGCCTCTGGCAGTATCACCAGTGCTACAAGCTCTGTGACTTCTATGGTCAGTTGTGGCTACGAGTAACATAAGCTCCAAACCCGACCCTGCGACATTTGACGTACTTCCCGAAAGATCTGTAATAATCTACTTGGAGGTTCATGTTTAGTTATAAATAGGGTTATAAGTAGGGTAACTATACTTATAATCCATATAAGGGAACTTATAACTCCACTTATAACTACCCATGAACCCTAAACCCTATAGAACCCTTTAAAGGAACCTTATCACCCCACTTATAACTACCCATGAACCTCCAAGTCTACACCTCTGAGACCTTGGAACTGTCGCCTCGTAGGTGCGGTTCTGGCTTTCTTCCTGGTGTTGGCCATTCTTGGCCTCTTGCCTGCTTGGAGGTTCATGGGCAGTTATAAGTGGCGTGATAAGGCTCCTTTAAAGGGTTCTATAGGGTTTTAGGGTTCATGGGTAGTTATAAGTGGGGTTATAAGTATAGTTACCCTGCTTATAACCCCATTTATAACTACCCATGAACCTCCAAGTGAACCGAGAGCAGCACGGCTGAGTGTGCATGGGGAAATGACAACTTGCGGGAACTTGAACTGCATTGAACGCTATGTAGTAATCTACAGGAAAGCGGGCAATGTTGTTTCCGCCGCCGGTGGTATGTGCTCTTGAAAAAGGTGCCTTAGGCCAGTGCTTAAATTTCGAGAGCTACGTCAAGTGAAGCAGGCAGAATTCAGAACCTGCCAGACATTATTATCCCGAAGAAGGCCTTTGTTGAGCATCCGGATTGCCCCAAGCAAAGGCCTTCCGATTGAACCTCGGTGCGGGGACGCTTCTGTCATGACAGCCCGCAAGCCTCTTGGCCCATTCATGATTCTTTTGGCTCGTCTTCCGCTCTGCGGACATGCCGTCTCGACAAGGTGACATCAGGCGGAGCAATCCTCCTGGTATCCTTTCAGTCGGCTAGACCTGAATCGTTCGGAAGCTGGACACGAGGGACATGAGTTTTGGATTGGTTTCAAGGATCCCAGAAGGAGGCGTCTGGTGACATTGACAACGAGCCACTCATCGCGAGACTCGTGGCCTCCGACGTGGCTTTGAGAACGAAAGCTCTGAAATACGAAGCTGTGCCTAGCATCATCAGTATCAAAACCCACGCTGCATAATCACGATTTCTTGTCGATATAGCCGAGCCATAGCCCAGTAGTCGTCGTCGTCGTACGAGTACTAGTA